GATGATATTGTTTTCCAAAGACGAATGGGCCCGATTACAGGGAGTTCTCGGCACTGCCCTCAATCTGTCTTCCCAGTCACCGTCGCATGTCACCACTTCACCGCCACACTCGTCACAGTCGCTTGCCCAACGCCGTCTCGGCGACCGCCGCTCTTCCTCCTGCCTTCTCGGCTATCTTGTTCTTGCTCTGAAGGAGGATGACGGAGTGATTAACCAGAGCATGCACAACGACGGCGATGAATTTTTCTTCTTCTTCGATAAATTTTGTTCGTGTTTATGCTCTGAAATTTCCCCCTTGCTCTTGCCCTGAAACTTTTGCGGAATTTTTTTTGAAATTTCCCTCAAATCATGCTGAGCGACGACGACGACGACGAAGTCTTGCTGTATTTTAATTGTTCCATGCGATCTTTGGTTCTGCATTTCTTGTTGTTCCGGTTTGTGACAGAGAAATTTGCTACCAGGAAGCGCATGACGAAGAAGCTTGTGTGTTCGGATTTTTTCTGCCGTTGCTCACCTATGGGACAAAACCTTGAGCTCCAATGATTTTGGGTTGATGAATCATGGAATTGACAACTTTGTTGTTGCTGTACTTTGTCCTCATTATGCTTAAAATCCTTAGTTGCTTTGCTTTGCTTCATACTCTATATTAATTCTAAACACATAAAATCCTTCAACTAATTGAAAAGTGTTCCACAGTAGAGACAACTGCATAGTTTGCAACACCATAAAACAATCATATCACTAACATCTCAGGTAACCGATGTCTCTTAATGTGGTCAAAACAGTGACATTTTTTACAATCATAAAGATGGCATATTTTTGTGTGTTTTTCAAGGTATGAGAGCAGTATTTTCTTCGACCAGTCCACAGACGGTGGGAACCACATTATGTGTGGGAATCTTGTGGCTAAAAGCTCCACAGAACTTGCTTCAACTGTGCAACAAGTGCTAAAGAATCTGGTGGAAGCAACACCAAGAATACCTGGTTTCTTTGCAGCCGCTGTAACGCCAGTACCTAAAAGTAATGGTTCAAATATTTATGCCTTTGCTCAATGTCTCGAGACCGTCACTCAAAGTGGCTGCCAAGATTGCTTGGAGTCTGGCTTAAGAAATTTTCAGATTTGTATTCCCAACTCAAATGCTAAGATTTTTTATGCTGGTTGCTTCATGAGATACTCCACCTCTGCATTTTTTGCCACTAATCAGACCACTGATATCAAACACATCTTGAAACAAGGTAAAGTTCTTAACTTTAAACTCCCGAATGACTATGTGCATTGCATACCAAGAAACAATTGACATGAGCAAATATAGTACAATTTAACTTCAAACAATTGTGACTCGTAGGAGATTCAAGCAAGAAGGCCATTATTGGTGGGGTCGTTGGAGGTGCATCTTTTATTTTGATTCTCCTTGCATTATTTGCTTTGTATAGACGATCATTGTCCAAGAGAGTTCATAGAGGTAAGATAACTAGAAAAATCTTTATTATTCAATTTGAAATGATTCATTGTGATGCTCTAGTTTTAACTTTTTCCTGCCAAAGGGATGTGACGGTTTTAATTTGAAAGGGATGAACCCCTAACTACTTCATACTTTATTGAGAGATTTCTGACTGAGGTTTTTCTTGCAGTTGACATTTTGGGAGCAACTGAGTTGAAAGGCCCGGTTAACTACAGGTATAAAGATCTGAAGTCTGCAACAAAAAATTTCAGTGAAGAGAATAAATTAGGAGAAGGAGGTTTTGGTGATGTATACAAGGTATACCCCACGCCCCCACACACACAAATATAAACAGTCATTTGTGTTATTACAGTCCATATCTTTTTGAGAGACACTTTGTATAGAGGCTTTTTTGTATAAATTCAATTTAGGTACACTTGTTAATATAATATTTGTCTGCCAGATATATAGAAAGTACAATGTATTTCTTAGATTCCATGAAATACACAGGAAAATGTGTCTAATTCTTAATAAAAGGATGGCACTTCCCTCAAGCACACTCTATAGTCTAGAAATGTGATCTCTTCATTGAACAGGGTACTCTGAAAAATGGAAAAGTAATTGCCATAAAGAAATTGGCTCTAGAGCAATCCAAAAAGATGGATGAAGATTTTGAAAGTGAAGTGAAGCTAATAAGTAATGTTCATCATCGAAATCTTGTTCGACTTCTTGGATGTTGCAGTAAAGGCCAAGAGAGATTCCTTGTCTATGAGTACATGAAGAACAACAATGTTGGCCAGTTCTTATTTGGTATATTCAATTTAGTACTTGAAGAAATTTCCTTTGTACTTGAAATTCATCTGCTTCCTCTATTTTTATGTTTTTTTTGGTCCCCTCTCTCTTACTATCTAAAGTGCTGGAAATAGGTGACAATAAAGGTTCTCTCAATTGGAAGCAACGTTATGGTATAATTTTAGGCACTGCAAGGGGTTTGGCATATCTTCATGAGGGATTTCACATTTGCATCATACATAGAGATATAAAGCCCAGCAACATCCTCTTGGATGTTGATTTCCAGCCTAAAATTGCAGATTTTGGATTGGCAAGGCTTTTGCCAAGGGACCAATCTCATCTGAACACAAAATTTGCAGGAACAATGTAAGTAGTAACATATGTAACTATTCATATTTTCTGCACTCAATATATATCATATTAACGCAAATGATTGTAACAAGTCATTTGTTGATCAAACGTGACACTACTTTAGCAACTAGATCTCTTCTCAAATGTTTAGTTGTTTCTACAAAGCATGAAGACTTGTGTATGTTTATGACTCACTAGAAACATGATACAACACTTTTAAGTTGCACACGAATATTTGAAATTTGTTTTTATCATTGTTAGTGTAAGTTTCCATGTCTTGTTGTGACTCGTCTCTTACATATGGTAATTTTTGATCCTTTTGCTTCTGTTATATAGGGGATACACTGCACCTGAGTATGTAATGCATGGACAATTATCTGAGAAGGTTGACACCTATTGCTATGGTGTTGTAGTCTTAGAAATTATAAGCGGACAGAAGAGTGGTGAATTAAAGAATGATGATCAAGGCGAATTCCTTCTTCAAAGAGTAAGTGAATTCTCAAAATCGATATACCAAAGGAAAGGTTTTTATTTGGAGAAATTACAAATGCAGATATAACTAATCAAATTATTTTCAATATAGCGTGACAAACGATTGTTTTTGACTGCTCAACACCACGCAATCTTTTTTCCTCTATCTTGTATGACTTTGATGCCCCTCGGCAGGCTTGGAAACTGTACGAGAGAGGAATGCACATGGAGTTTGTGGATGAAACCTTAGATCTAAATGAGTATGATGCAGAAGAAGTAAAGAAAATCATAGAGATTGGATTGCTTTGCACGCAAGCATCTCCTGCAGCAAGGCCAACAATGTTTGAAGTTGTTGATATGATCGAAAGCAAAGGTGGCTTAATGGATCACAAGCGACCCGCTATGCCTGTTTATGTTGATTCTAATGTGGGGAATAGAAGAGATGCTCAGTAATAGTTCATCTCTATCAAATGCTACTGTCTCCGCTTCTATTGCATCAGGAAGGCGATGTGATTTTGAACCCCCAGAAAATAACAATAATAATATTTAAGAAGGAAACAACTGGAGTACGCATTCGCTTTCATTCATTACTGAAGATTTCAGTACAATGAAACATTGAAACATGAATTGTGCAATATAATTTGGGTAGTTTGTGATTGCCACGACTATACTGTTGTAACACTGCTATCCTTGTTCAACAAGTCTAGTTGGGTGCCTTCATCTTTTGCTGATATACATTATCACCAGAACATAGCATTGAAGCAGAGAAGGAAAATGTCATGTCTTGTCTGAAATATTGATGGAGGAATTTCATGCACGAAACTGCAAGGATGGTGATCAAACCCACCCAAAAAAGGGTTCCCCTTAAATATGGAAACGCAGAATAAATGAGGAAGATAATTTTCAGAGTTATAGAGAACATTCAAAAGAATCACCCTATTATAGGTACTTGATTACGGCAAAGTAGTTTCTGTAAAGGTCTTCAGGCAGAGATAGTATACCAACGTAATTGATCATTTGGGTTTTTCAAATAACACTAAGTTTTACCTATATTCTACTGTTGCTATAAGGGGACCATGCACTCACTCAGATCAACTAGCAGTAGCTGACTGAGAGATCGCTCCAGGTTAATTTATATTGCTGCGGGAGTTTAAGAGCTACATGAACCAAATTTATGTCGCTCGCCCGAGCCATTTTTTGAACACTCATTTCCATGAGAGGATGTCTAATCTTGGGTAACAACAGCCTCCTAAAGCAGCAAAAATTTGTTTCAGAATTTAAACATAAAAATTTAATTCTTGATGTTACTTTTAAAATAAAAATTTTAATTTTACCATTATTGAGAACTAACATAATACCATATAATTTAAGCTTTAGATACAACATCTGATTCTAAATATAAGAGCTAATTTACACAACAAACTGGTTTTTATATTTAAGATAAGAGATAATAATTTAATTAATCATTTAAATTATATCTCTTTTGAGTTTGTCTCTCTTGTCTCACTTTGTTGGGTCAACGAAGTAGAATCTGTAGAATCATCTATCAAGTCCATCCCATCCACGCCTTAGTCCCATTAAAAAACTAAGCATAAAAGTATATAACTACTTTCCCATGTAATCTCAGTGTGCCTCCACAGCCAGTCTTCCCATTGTCCACCATTCCCAGAGATTTGCGGAGAAAAACATTAGCTACTAAACAAGGCTTCATAAGCTTTCTTCACATATTGTAGGCAAACCTGAGAGAGAACATGTCATGCTTTTCCGTCTTCCACTTAACAGTACCCCCCGGGGGGGGGCGCGGGGAGAAGAACCGCCCTCTCAGTACCTTCCATAAGTTGGTCCCAATTATTTTTTGTGCCCATCCATTGCCGGGAACCTAAGCCAGGTCCTACATTTGGGATCACATCCCTATGTGCATTAAGCATATAGCTGTAGTCTGCATTAGTTTACTTAGGTGCATAATCATAACAAAATTGCATTTAGAGTATGCTTGCATCATTCTAGAGTAGCTGTACTGTATTTGCATATAAATAACTATGTCCCCTTTGCAATTACAATTCTAAAACTGATCCCTAAGAGAATGATTTACACTATATTGTATTTATAGTTGGATCTAGAACTAGTTGGTAGCTGATGCGACTAAGACTACTCTCATCAGCCATTTAGAAAAGCACATTCTTGTAAAGTACAATTATCTTGTTGATGGTATTAAAAAGTAAAAGCAATATCATTTGATGTAACGGAAGCAGTAGGGATGGAGGTGTATTCCATGAAGCTCTAATTAGGTTCAATCAAGATAGGCATAGTCGGCCTCATATTCTCTAATAAACCCTTGTTCTGAAGCAAAACCACTATTTCAGATATTGCCGGTCTTATTTCTGCAGATGCTTGAGTGCATAGCAAACCAATTTCTATAATTTTCTTCACTTCTTCTGCATCATAATCATTACTGTCTAAGGCATTGTCCACCAACTCTAAATGCATGCCTCTCTCATATAGTTTCCAAGCCTATCAAGTAGGATGAAAGTGAAACGAAATAAGCATTTATCATAAGATTATTTTCTCTCATAAAGTAAGCTTTTTTGAAAGAATTTTAGATGTGCTGTTAAAAAATCCAACATCTAAGTTTTTTTTTTCAAAATAAAGAAAAGCTTTTTCAAATAGGCATGTGAATTTTCTCACTTTTTGGAGGAGGAATTCGCCTTCAACATCACCATCAACTTTCAATTCATTGCTTTTTTGGCCGCTAATGATTTCTAAGACAACAATACCATAACTATAAATATCAGCCTTTTCGGATAGTTGTCCATGAATTGCATACTCTGGTGCAGTGTATCCTCTGTCAATCATATATTATTTATGATGTAGTTAATTAGAATAATAGCTCAAACTAAAACATGTAATTATTGTGATGCTACAAAATCCAAAATAGACATGGAATATAAAGTATTGTGTCATCATCATCTTCAACATAAGTATGAATTCCTTCTTGCATAATCATGTATTGTCCATGTCATAGGATTGTTTAATAGACTAATGTATAGATTTCATTAATACCTTTAACAATCCATTTACTGTAATAAAAATTAATAGAATTGAAAATTAACTGGAGCAAAGTAGTTATTTCAATCAACTTACAATGTTCCTGCAAATTTTGTACTAAGATGAGTTCTATTCTCAGGTATAAGCCTTGCCAACCCAAAATCAGCAATTCGTGGTTGTAGATCATCATCTAACAGAATGTTATTTGTCTTTATATCTCTATGAATAATGCGAATATGAAATTCCTCATGAAGATAAGTCAAGCCTTTGCTATTCCTAAAATCACTTCATATCGTTGCTTCCAATTGAGAGAACCTTTCCTTTCACCTATTTCCCAAGTTTCCAAAATTTGAAAGGTGAGAAAAAAGAACGAAGGGCGAAACATAACAATGTCCTTTCAATATCTATGTTCCAATCAAATTATCTAATGAAACCATGACATATGAGCACATTTTTCCTAACGAGCGAATGAAATGTTGTCATGTTGAAAATATGTCCACATCTCATAATGCTTAAGATAGTGTGCATAAGCTTTGGTAATTGAAATAACATACCAAATAAGAATCTGTCAAGACTGTTGTTTTTCATGTATTCGTAAACAAGGATTCTATCGTGACCTTTGCTACAAGATCCCAAAAGTCGAACAAGATTTCGATGATGAACATTACTTATCAGCATCACTTCACTCTCAAAATCTTCATCGATCCTATTGGAGGCTCGTAAAGCTAATTTCTTTACTGCAACTACTTTCCCATTCCCCAAAATGCCCTAATCATAATTGAGAATTTTAAACATGAGATTGTTATCAGACTATCTTTCAAAAATAATATATAAACCACGCTTAAAGATATCCTTACATTGAAACTCATAATAAAGTTGTACCTTGTATACAACACCAAATCCACCTTCTCCTATTTTATTTTCGTCACTAAAATTCTTAGTTGCAGACTTTAAATCCTTATAACTAAAAGTTATTGAGCCTTTCAACTTACTCGCTCCAGGTATCTCTCCTGCCATGGAAAACAAAAATCAAACCTTTTGTTCATAAATTAAAATAACTAGCAGTTGAAGATTTTGTTCATTTTCCAAATTGATAAAATAGTAGCCTCATAATTTTTAATTTGTTTACCTCTAGGAACCCTCTTTGGGCTTTTAGTTCGTCTCATCCAAGCAAATAATGCAACGAGGAGCAAAGCAAGAGCAGCACCTGAAACAACTCCAGCAGCAATGGCCCCCTTGTTACTTGAACCTACGAACAAAGATTTGTACAAATACAAATGTACACATATATGAGTGAATATATGTACATGTAATTTCAAATAATACCAAGTTATTTTGAAACGTATCATGCTCTAAAGTATAAAATTAAAATGTCAATAATAATACTTGATCAAATCATTCTAATAACCTAAATAAACATTCAAACTAAGGATTCATATAAATTTTCAAATTGAAAATTTACTCCTCCTGTATATCCTAAATGTAGGAATTAGTTGGAGAGTGGATTTTGATCATAAATATAATGCTTTAATCCATTTTACATCATATTTATCATGCATAATTTTTTTCCAAACTAATTTATCAGACTTATAAACTGGTGACAAAGAATCTAAATGAAGCCTTACCTTGTTTGAAGGCAGGTACGATATCAATAGTCTGGTTATCAGGAAAAAAGGAAGTTGTGGAGTATCTCATGAAACACCCATCGGCAAAAGCCCTACCATCTGAGTAGGAAAGACAAGTCTTTATATTGTTGTATCCAGCATTCAAGCAACTGAGGCACTCATTTTGTGATATGGTTTCAATACATTGGGCAAAGGCATAAATAGTTGGACCAACGTTAGACACTGTCATCTTCATGGCTGCAGAAGATCCTCTGATATTTGGTGTTACAGTTTGAAGATTCATCAGCAATTGTTGTGCAACTGATGTGAGTCTTGTGGCTCCATCGTCATCTTCAGTCTGATTACCACAATATGCTGTGTTGAAAGTTTGTGTTGTCTCATCAAGGAAAGCACCGCTAATGTCGAACCTGAACACGCCAGAGTCTACCATATCATCTTTTTTTTTTTTTTTTTCAAGTTTATAATATGTACAGATCAGAAAGCTAATGAAAAGGAGAGTTTTATAGGGAAATTGAGAAATGCTTCTCATTTACCTGATGGAGTGTTTAGTACATAACATAAATATATAGTCATTTAACCTTTATACTTATGAAGAATAATGTCTTTCTTCTTTATGTCATTAACATTCATATATTATTATGATATACTCCCTCTTGTCCATTGTACAAGGTACTCGGATACGTTTTTTTTTTTTTTGGGTCTTTTTATAAGGCAATATATGGAACATTTATTACATCTTTACCACATTGCGCTATTTGGATTAACTTTTTTAAAAGTAATTTTGTAGAGTTCAGGATAAATATGTTAGAAAACTTGTCTCGACCTACGTCAAAGCATTTTTTTAAGGAAAAAAGACAATAAAATACCTTGAAAATTGTTAAATGACAAATCGATATGGGTGAATTTCATAATTCCAATTCAAACATTCAAACCCCTTGTATTATTTTAGAACTTTCAAGTCTACCAAAATTATGCAAATGCCCTTCGCTATTTTTTTCTTTTTTTTTTTAAATATTGTCACCTTAGCACTTTTAGCTGGCCGGTTTCTGACCACCAACAACCCTGCCAAGGGCTAGCTGCCGGAGCTCCAGTGCCTACTCTTTCTTATGTATTGATTACTTTTTTAGCTATGAATTATATTTGTTTTTAAAACGCCGATGACACTTTTATTTAGCTACTGGCTACTCTACTATTGTTATTAACTATTTTCATTTTTAAAAAATTTGGTGACTACTTTTGTTTACCTATTGACTACTTTTATTTTAAAAATTCAAAAAATATATTAAGTGTTGTTGGAGATCTGGTAACTACTTTTAATTCAGTCATTTACTGTCTTTGTGTAGTCAATAGTTATACAAAAGTAGTCATCAAAATTTGAAGAAAAAAGTAATCAATAGTAAAATTAGAATAGTCAATAGTTATATGAAAGAGTAACTGAAAGTAAAGGCTACGTTGTCATTTAACAGTATTTTAAAATTTCAAAATAGTACAAGGGATCTGATTTAGGATTTTGAAATTCACCAACTCTAATTTATCTTTTAGCATTTTTGAGGATATCTTAATGTCTTCCCCCCCTTTTTAAGTGCTTATATGAGATGCCAAACTCCCCCTTATTCAAAGTCAGTTTTTCAAACTTGGCCTTTTGACTTTTCAAAGGATATGTTTGAAAAAATTAATTAAATTAGTTATTTGTCAAAAATGTGTGCTGATTTATCTAAACTATCATTTTCATCTATATATATTGGATGATTAAAATTATCTCTTAGTAAAAATTTCTTGCAATCAATAGGGATATTTTAAAAAAAGATGAGAGATTCTTATATTTTTGCCCAAATTTAATCCCTAACTGACATTTATATTGAGGAGTTGACGTAGTAATTAATAATTATGAAAATTAAGGGCGTAACTGAAAATTATGTTAGTTTTCAGACAACGTTAATAATTTTGAAGCCTTTCTTTGATTCCGATGCGAGTGCAGGAAGTGACTTCTACAAAACACCAGAAGAAGTATTCCTCTAATCCTATTTATAAGTTACTTTTAATATATTTCATACAGATCAATAAAATCTAAAACTTTATTAACTCCCTTTTAAAATTCAATAATATTCCAACTTTATCCCCATTTAAGATATATTACACTTTATAAGAACAAAATCAACAAAATAATAAATGAAAAAGTAAAATTATACATTCATATAAAAAATTTCTTTCTTTACCCTATAAACAAGATCAAATTTTTTTTTCTCTCTGCCTTATAAATATAACTAAAAATTTTCTTCTCTCTCCCCCTATGAATAGAATGAGAGGATAATATTTATAATTACAATAAAGTCAAATTCTTAATTCTACTCTTAAGCAAGATTAAATGAATTAGCATTTTTGTAAAATGGTGGTCCGTAGTTTGTTGAAGTATACCTGGGGGATAAAATTATTGAATGTTTGGACAAAACCTAAACTATAGTTTTAAAAGTAATTTTATGATATATGAAGTAAATATTTAAAAGAGTTTATCTTGATTTGTTAAAAATACTTTTTAAAAGCGATTCTCTCAAATGCCCAACATCCCCACAATCTCCCTGCCATGATTGTCCCATATGATTGGGCACACATACTCTTCTCATCCAATCTCTCTAACTTAAACACTAATTTAACTCATACTAAATTAAATACTAATCAATTTAATATTATTTGATGAAACTAAATAATCTCATTAAATAAGTCGACCCTTCAACAACGAATCCAAAATCCAACATAAATATCCATATATACGTGCGTATGTAGTAAAGAGAGAGACTAAAATTTGAAATTTTTTGGGTAGAAGTACCTGAGGAAGCAGCCGTCGTAGACAACATGGGCACCCGAGGCTCCGGCGGTGCAGCTGAGTATTCGAGCGGCGGCGACGTCGAAGCAATCAAGACAGTCGGCGATGGAGAGGTAGTTTCTGCATTGGAGAAGAGTGGAAACTGGGTTTCCTCCGTTACCTTCATGTGCGGTGGCGAAGTGCTTGTTCTGTTCACTGATCTGCCCTCTGATATCTCTCAACGTCGCGTTTAGGTTTCTGTCGAAGATGGAGATGCTGGACACGAGGTAGACGAAGGACGGATTACACTCGCTCTTAAGAAGATTGGTCTGTGGGTCCGAAACGACGCCGTTGAGGATGGAGCAGCATGAACAGAATATGAAGATGAACGAAGAAGGAGATGAGGACGACCTTGAAGCATCTTCTGTTGAGAGAGTGAGAATGAAGAAGCAAAGAGAGGTAATGGGTCAAATTTTATAAATATTGGGAAACCAGTGGCTGGAACTGTTAATCCTTTTTTTTTTTTTGAAGGATTCAATAGCAATTTGTGGAAAACAAATGAATAAGAAATTGACTGTTCCATGTAATAGAAGTTTAATTTCCACACGCTTTCGAATTGTGAGTTGACCATTGACTTGTTCAATTCTAATTTGCTTCTTGGGTCAACAAGAATTGGGAAATTTCTAACAATAATGACATAAAGGAAAACAGACTACTGCAAGTGGTAACTGATAGCGACCTTATATTGTGGTGGTAGGCCCTTTTTGAGGGAGGGGATAATACACATGCATTCCTTTGCAGAAAATTAAATGTAGGAAGAACAATTTTTTATGTTTTTATATTTATCTAAGTACTCTTCTAATCCTATTTAAAAAGAAGTGAAATTTTTTCTTGATCCTATTTATAAATCATTTCATTAAATTTTTAGCATGAATATATTATTTCATTCTTTATTGATTATAATGTAGATATATTTATTTTCTCTTTGAAAAGTATATATATTAAATAAGGATAAAATTAAAAAGTTATATTTTTAATCGAGAGTTAATATAGTTAAAAATTTTTTGGTCTATGCAAAATATACTGAAAATGTCTTATAAATAAGATCATAGAAGTATTATCGATTAAATCACAACATTATGATTTTTTTTTCTTTTCTGTTTCTTTTTTTTTTTTTTTTGCCAGAAACATTATCAAGACAAGATAAAGAGTCGAGTCCTATGATATGACAGCACATATGATACGAATAAGGAATCGAGTTTTTTTATACTTGATTGGCCACTACTTGTTAAAGCTCGATTATACAAGGTTACCAATAGTTCTAAAACTGTGCATTCTTTATATTTATATCCAAATTTATGAACATTTAACATGTATGGTCTGGAAATTGTTTGCCTTCTTCTATTATTTCATATGATGCTCTCGACAACTTTATTTTTCTTATAATTAATGACATGCATCTTTAATTGTCATTTATTCTCCATGTGATCATAAAAGTAATGGAGATGATGCTAAACTCCAAAATATAGTCGCCCCCATATGTGATTATAAAGAAAAATAATATAATTTGATTCATGATCGCGCTTTAAAAATAAAAGAAATATCATATGCAATAATCCAACAAAACTATTACTCAAAATTGTACAATTTATTCACACATTCATACATAATAATGTCCGAGTGATTTATAATTAATTGCACCTAAAAGTTGCAGAATGGAATTAAATGAAGGGCAGTCACGTTCTATTATACCTTCTTTCTATGTTATTAGTTCTTTTATTTAATTTATGGATTCAAAATTTGAAGTCACCCATAATACATATTCCTACACAAAATAGAATTATCTTGGTGATAGATAAAAATGAAGGCAAATAATAGCATTGGATATATTGGAAACCATAGAGGCAAAGGCATCTTCCATGCATGAATTTTTAATTAGTTTCAATGAATATAGGCATTGTTGGCCTCATATTCTCTAATAAACCCTTCTTCTTGAGCACAACCATTATTTCAGACATCATTGGCCTTGTTTCTGCAGATGGTTGGGTGCAAAGCAAACCAATCTCTATAATTTTCTTAACTTCATCTGCATCATAATCTTTAGGGTCTAAGGCATTATCCACCAACTCTAAGTGCATGCCCCTCTCATATAAATTCCAAGCCTGTCAAGTGGGCAAAAAAGGAGAAAGCATAGGTTAGATATAGATTCTTACGTAAAGAAGGAATAGCTTTTGCAAAAGACTAATTAGCCCGTTAAAAGGCTTTTTATCTAAAATTTCTCAAAATAAAAGATTGCACGATTTAAAAATAGTCATGAGAATTTTCTCACTTTTTGGAGGAGGTATTCGCCTGCGACATCACCATCAGTCTCTAATTTATTGCGCTTCTGACCACTGATTATCTCTAACACTACAATACCATAGCTGTAGACATCAACTTTTTCTGATAATTGGCCATAAATTGCATATTCCGGTAGCGTGTATCCTCTAACAAAATAATATATATGATATAATGAAATTAGAATAAAATATCTCAAACTAAAATCTGATTACAAAATCTAAAATATAAAGTATATATATTATGTTATGTTTGACGTGGGTATGAATTCTTTCTTGAAGTCTTATATATAGATTTTATCAATATACCTTGGGCAATCCATGTACTATAATTTTATCAAGAGAATTGAAAATTAAATTAAACAAAAGTAATAGTTTCAACTTACAATGTGCCTGCGAATTTGTGTTAAGATGAGTTTTATCCTCAGGTATAAGTCTCTCCAAGCCAAAATCAGCAATTCTAGGTTGTAGATCATCATCTAGGAGGATATTGTTAGTCTTTATATCTCTATGTATAATGCGAACATGAAACTCTTCATGTAGATAAGCCAACCCCTTGCTATTCCTAAAATGACTTTATATCGTTGCTTCCACTTGAGAGAGTATTTCTTGTCACCTATTTTCCAGGTTCACATAATTTGGAATGTAAGTAATTAAAGACAAAAGGTCAAATATACAAAAGATAATTGATATATAAACGTGTAAATTCTCTAATAAAACTACGAAGTCAAGTTTTGTTTGATGAGTCAACGATGTGTTCTGTTCTTAAGTTGAAATATGTTCACATATCATAATGGTATTATGAAGAAAAACTAATAATGCGTAAGGAATTGTAATTAGTAATTAAGTTTTGTGGAATGAAATAAGATACCATATAAAAATTTGTCGAGGCTATTGTTTTTCATGTACTCATAAACAAAAATTCTGTCATGGCCTTTACTACAACATCCCAAAAGTCGAACAAGATTCCGATGATGGACATGACTTATCAGCTTCACTTCACTTTCAAATTCTTCATCTACTTTTTTGGAGTAGTGTGAAGCTAATTTTATGATTGCAACTACTTTACCATTCCACAAAGTGCCCTACATGCGATGATTAGAATTTCAATATAATCATGTAAGTATATATCTTTATTACTTATTTCAAGTAATGCATTTGTCCTTTTAGAAATATAACCTTTTAACGTACCGTATATAAACCTCATTTAGCTTTGGGACATACTTATTGAAATATTGAAACTCAAGAAAAATAACTATACCTTGTATACCATGCCAAATCCACCTTCTATTTTATTTTCTTCACTAAAACTCTTGGTTGCGGTCTTCAAAACATTGTAACTAGAAGTAACTGGGCCTTTTAGCGTGCTTGCTTCAGGTATGTCCCCTGATATAAGTGGAAAACGTTAACCAAATTAATCTCTTTTCATAA